TGTGTGTCAGAGCCGACCTTCTACCGCCTGGTGCAGTCCTTCGCTGTGGTGCTGTTCGAGTAAGTGACGCTCTGGCTCAAAGCCTGGTCTGACGGTGGCTTTTCCCCATCTTCCCCACCCCCACCCACCCAGGAGCCAGCTGTGAGTACCAGACAGCTGTGCCCAGTGTCAGCCGGAAGTTGAAGTCGTGACCGGCAAGTAGAGCTCACGGTCCTTACTTGGGAGTAGCGATTAGAGGGCTGCAGCTGGGCTCGGGTACAACCCTCCTGGGTGCTAGGGACAGGCATGATGACACACTGCCACCTCCTCGTTCTGGGATGTCGCCATTTCCTGCTGTGAAGTCCTTTAACTAAATCCTCACCCCCTCGTGATCAGAGCGCCCCCTGCTGGTGTGCCGGGAGGCCTGCAGCTGCCCCAGCAACACTGCAGGAACAGAGGCACAGAGGGCCCAGGGACCCTGTGGGTGGGGAGGAGGCAGGGCCCTTCCTGCCTGGGCTGGCCTGTCAGCTGAGGGACTGACCAGGGTGCCCTCCAGGCTCCTTCCCAGGCCAGTGACTCTAGGACTTCCAGACTTGTTTCTTCCTTCAGGCCTGCAGTTTGAAAGGGAGACCACGCTTCTCTGCTCAGAGACTGAGCCCCGGCTCCACTGGCCTGCTGCTTCCTTTAAAGAGGAGGAGCCTGTGGTGGCACAGGGAACCCTGGCCACACCTGTGTGCCATCACCTCCACAAGGCCTCAAAGCAGTTCCTGCTGCAGGCCCTGCAATCCCTGCGTCTTGGCTTACCCATGGCCCCGCCACTTCTTGGAGTCTGTTTCCTCCCAGACCTGGAAAGCTGGCCTCCTTCACCCCCTCTCTCTCAACTAAGGGCGCTGCCCCTGGAGGCTTAATTCTCCTGCCTCACCATACCCTCACTTTCCCCTTGAACCGGGGCAGGCGCTGGAGGGAAAGGACCAGCAGAGGGGAGGATTCCTGTCCTTCCTGCACTCACTCCACATGTCCCTATCCCTGGACACTTACCTATAGGGGTCAGGTCAGAGCTGGGAGGGGAGGGATGAGAAGCCTCCACCAAGGGAAGTCAGTGAGCTGTGCCCTTGGCTGTGTGCCAAGCTTGTTTGCAGCAGGTCCTCCATGGAGAAGTCTGTGAACTCCTCCACCTGCAGGTCATGCACTCCCCCTGCAGACATTTGCAGTCCTGGCATTATCGCAACCCTCGATTTTCATGAATTGTATTTGCCTCACGTGGTCTTTATGGATTTTAAGTTTAATTTATTAGTGTTTTTGGTTTTTACTTTTCCCTTTACTCACCAGTCTTAACAGTGTTATTAGTTGTTTAGTTCCCTATACTGATTAGATTTGTTAAAATGTCTTTTTAAAACAAAAATTGACCCTTAATCCAACTATCTAAATGATTTCTGTCAACTTTCTTTTAAAAGTAATAATTGTCCAAGGTTACAAACTAAACAGAAGGGCCAGGCATGGTGGCTCATAGCTATAATCCCAGCTACTTAGGAGGCAGAGATCAAGATCATGGTTCCAGGCCAGCCTGGGCAGTTAGCAATACCATTCCCAGCCCACAGCAAACAAACTGGGTATGGGGGTTTGTGCTTGAAATCTGAGCTATTTGGAAGGCATAGTTAGGAAGATTTTGGTCCAGGCTGGCCCCAGGCAAAAACTTGGGACCTTATTGTAAAAATAACTAAAGCCAAAAAGGTCTGTGAGCATTATTCAAGTGGTAGACCTGCTGCCTAGCAAGCACAAGACCCTGAGTTCAAACCCCAGCACTGCCAAAACAAAAACCAGGAAAGAAATGTGTGACAGGGAACAGAAAAGAAAGATAGGTAGGGAAACCTCAAATACAAGGGCAGCCCTTCCCCATCCCCTGCTCCCACTTCTGACCTGCACGTGGGGAGGGGGTTCTCGACGAGTGACACACTGGCGAGAAGGCATTGTGTTCACACACAGACACACTCCTGCCACGGCCCCCTGCCCCCATTTTCTTTCCACATCTCTGTAGCTTTGTAGCTGTAACTGTGAGTTCCTGGGGCAGACTGCTACTTTTTGACCCTTCCCCACTCTTGATTTGCTAAATTAAATGCACTGTGCAGACCTCGCAGGCTCGCCTCATACAGCGTCCTCTTAGGCGGAAGGACTAATCTTCACACTTGTGGCATATTGTTGTTTTACGTGACACTAATGTATTTATTTGGATTGTCAGCAAGTACATAGCAGGTGGCTCCCTGAGCTGGAACCATGGGGACATGGTGGCCCACAAGTTTACAGGCCCCACATTCTCAGGCCCCACCCCAGGCCCACTGATCCCTGCCCTCTGGGGGAGGGGGCCTGATGCAGAGGCCATCACATGACTTGCAAGAAGTAGAGACCGGGCCCTGGGGACAAGGGCTGCTGGCTTGAACGAGGCGACTTCTGGTCCTGGCCCTCTGGGTGTGAGCTCAACTGAACTTCCTACACTGAGACTCCACTGCACAGTGAGAGGTCACCCCATGGACCATAACAGCCCCACTCAGTCAGCCTCGTCCTGGCCAGGTGCCTGCAGGTGGCTCTCCTAATTGGACCAGGGAAGTTACTCTGTACCTGTCCTGTGGCAGCCTCTCAGGAGCGAGGTGTTATTTAGGCATGTTTAATTGATGTGCAGTGACAGTCTCCTTGCTTCCCGTCTCAGGTGCCATCAGATGGAGGACTTTGCACCTGCTAAGAGCCTCATGACCATGTGTTTCACCTACTACCACACCGGTGAGAGGGGCCAGGATGCCTGGGGCTTGTCGCTGGTAACATGGCGTCCGCAGAAGCCTTCCTTATGATAAAGGCAAAAGCCACGGACTCCACAGAGCAGAAGCTGATGTCAGGGCGCAGATGAGTGGGGGTGAAGCCCTAAGTGAAAGGATACAGGGCTGTTCTGTAGGGCAGGGCTGGCCGTCCACACAGGGAAGGAAAGGCCACACTGTCAAGAGGTGAGGCAGGATATCCTGGGCAGGATGTCACCTGGTGGAGACAGGAATGCTGGATGTGAGGGTCTCAGCTTTATGTTTCAGCAAAACATGACCTGGAATTGGCTGTTCTCTCTCTCTCTTCTCTCTCTTCCCCTCTCCTCTCCTTTCTGTCTCCTCTCCTCTCTCTCTCCTCTCCTCCCTCCTCCTCTCTCTCTCCCTCCCCTCTCTTCTCTCCGTCTGTCTTCTCTGTCCCTCTCTCTCATTTCTTCTCCCCGCCCCCATGTCTCTCTCTCTCTCCTCTCTCTCTCTCTCTCTCTCTCTCTCTCTCTCTCTCTCTCTCTGCACCTCTTACTATAGGCAGAACCTTGTGCTGTGTACTCACTCCACAGGCAAGTCTCTCACCTCCCATCCACACTGTCCCTTCTTCAGGGCAGGTGCCTGCCTGTTCCTCCTAGTTTCTGCAACTCTTTTGTACACAGTAGGTGCTTAGCACTGCCCTTAGGAAGACACGAGCCCCTTTCTTGTCCCAGCACCCTGAGCCTTCTGCCCTGCCTGCCTGTGGGGAGATGGAGGTGCCTTTCCCACCACCGAGGCAGACGAGGCTGTTCCTGGGTGTCTGCTGCCTGGGCTGCACCAACCCGGTTCTCACTTTGTCTCCGTTCTCTGTCAAGGCAAGCCACACCCACTGCCCTCGGAGCCCAGGGAGAAGGCCACGGGCAGCATGGACTCCTACTTGAGGTCAGCCAACAGCTGGCTTGCTGAGAAGAAGGACATTGCAGAGCGGCTGCTGAAGAACACAGAGAACATGAAGAGCTTCTTCGGGGGGCTGGAGTCCAGGCTGAGGGGACCCCTGGTCAGGAAGGATGAGTGAGTGTCACATGCAGGGACCTCTGCCTGGTGGGCACACACAGGCCAGGCTGAGTTGCTGGGTGGGCCAGCGTCTCCTGCTGGACCAGTGGGACCCTGCCACTCAGAGCTTCCCACAGTGTCCACACACTGTCCGTCCACTCACACGCAGATCCACTCACTCTCCCTGATGAGAGGCCTACTGCACACCCCTGCCCCCTCCTACCTCTCACTGCAGGGCAGTTAGGATCAGGGAACCCAGGAAGGCATGGGAAGCCTCTGTCCCCTGAGAGCAGTGCTCTGAGAGACCCGAGGACCCTTGAGGGTGGGCGTATTGGACATGGAGGTGGACGAACTGAAATACCCACAAAAGGGGTACATCTGTACTGGGAGACCCTCACCCCCACAGTTTGGTTGTGACCAGGTGAGGCGGCCTCCTTCCTCCCTATCCACACAGGGTGGGACTCAGAGCAAACCATGCTTCCTCCACTCTGAGGCCTGGTGGCTGGCCAGCAGGTGGCACTGGTTTCATGAACATCTCTTCAGGGAAACCACACAGCCCATCCCGAGGTGTAAATGATGGCTTTATTGGAGAAAGTGTGGCGCAGGCCACATTTGTCACTACTGTGGTTTCTTTCCCTCCAGAGAAGATGAGAACAAACCCAAGGACAAGCAGCCAAAGACTGGTAAGTGCATTGTCCTGGGAGCTGGCAGGAGGTGGGGCCTGCTAGGGAGGCGGGGCTTGGTGGGGGAGGAGGGGCCACGGGTGGAGCCTCTGGGGAGGCAGAGCCTTGGAAAGGCGGGGCCTGCTTGGGCCTGTAACCTAGACCCCTCCACAAGGGTCTTACACTAGCGACTGCTAACCAGAGGGGAGCTTCACTCCCCTCTTCACAACACAGACCTGCACCTTAGGTGGTTGCTGAGTTGGTCTGTGTTTTCTTACTGACTTTCTGGAAGAGCCACTTTTCTCCTGATGAGACTGAATCCTCAGACCAGGGAAGTTAAGCAGGTGTGACCAGGAGGTAGCAGCCTCTCCACAATGTCCCTGGGAAGAAGGTCCTAATGGCAGGTGGGAGTTGTGCCATCACTGGCTGTGGCAACAGAGAAGTTGTCGTGGAATGTCCACTGTGTCTCTTTATGACCTTTGGGGAAGTAGAGGCCATTGCCTGGCTCTGCCAGTACTGCCCTTGGCTTTTCTCCCACCTACAGTGACCGTGTTCAGCCCCGAGGACGAGCAGAAAGGGGACAAGATCTACCTGTACACACACCTGAAGCAGCAGCCCATTTGGTAAGGCCACCCTGGGCAGCCCCTCCCCAACCCTTCCTTGCTGCCTGTTTCCATCCGAAATGGGCACTGTCAGGCACATCTCTAGGGTGGCCAGAGTGAAACAGACTAACCAGTGTGGCGAAGATGTGGAGAAGGTGGGGATCTTCACAGCTGGTGGGACACCTGGCAGCCCCTCAGAGGTTAGCACAGGGTGACCGTGTGACCAGTCATTGCACTGTAAGCCTTTCCCGCATGCTTCTATTCCCTTTCCACTCCTCCACGTGGTGTGATGCAGTTGGGGACCCTCGCCTGAGCCACCACGATGCTGTTGGGACTCTCCAGTCCCTGGAGTCTTGAGCCAAATAAACCTCTTTTCATACACTACCCAGCATCAGGCACTCTGTTGCCTGGCATCCAGCTCCCAGAGGCCATTGGTGTGCTCTGAGCCCCTGAGGCCTCCTGTCTCCTGTTTTACTCACTCACAAGCGAGGCTCTGCTCTGGCACTGGAACTGATGGTGTCACCATGGCCTCTCCCTGAAAAATATCTATTTCCCACAGCTGCAGTCTACTTGCCACAGCTAGCAGGGCCCCCCACCCCGAGATGACTATGGCAGGAAGTGCTGTGGGGCACCCAAAGGCAGGGCTGGCAGGAGCTGGCAGAAGTCTCCAGGAGGAGGCTGAGCCTGAGTTGCCCTGGATCCCTGGCAGCAGAGGTGGGAGAGGCTGACCCAGCCCATGCTGGAGTAGGGCTTGGCTCACTCCTCAGTAAAGAGCCAGCGGATAACTATTTCGGACTTTGTGGGTCACGCAGCCTCTGCTGCAACCATACGACTGAGCTGTTGGAGCCCACAGCCGCCACAGACAGTGTGTCAGTCAGTGAACATGGCCAGTCTGCCATGAGCCCATTTGCACAAATGCTCTGGGCCGGATTTGCCCCACACACCATGGCTTGCCAAGCCCCGATATTCTGCAGGGAGAATTTTTCTTAGTTTTGCGTCCCTGTGACCATGTGTGCCCCTGCCAGCTCCCCATTTATGGTGGGAGACCCTAGCCCTACACTTCCTCTTGGGAGCCTCTCTAGGGGATGGAGAGGTGGCCGGTGCTGCTGCTGCTGAGTCCAAGGTCCAGTGGCCCCACCCTCCTCTTCCCGCCTCTCCGGTGTGTGTCAGGCCTCTGTACCATGTCTCTCCTCAAAGAGTCAGGCCAGGAGTCCCAGGGAGCCGCTGTACTCAGGACAGATTTCATTTCTCCACTCCTCAGTACTGCCTGACATGCTGTGCTGACGCTGGGGAGCTGCACTTCCTGGGGGCTCCTTACCCTCCCTGGGCAGAACCTAAGTGTGTCTTGTCTCGCAGGCAGACGCTGAGGTTCTGGAATGCAGCCTTCTTTGACGCCGTGCACTGCGAGAGAAGAAAGCGCTCTCCCACCACCAGGTAGGAGCCAAGGGTGGCCCAGCTCCCCTCGGAAAGAGGACCAGGTGTGCCTTTGTGTTCTGGGGTCTGAAGAGGGCCGCAGAGAATGGCCGGGCCGCTGTGGTTGTCCTTCCACCCGCCCCCTGCAGCCTGCCAGCTGCCTGAAGGGCCCAGAGTGGGGGTGCTCAGCTTGCATGAGCGCTTTCTGTCCCGGACTCTGGCATGACTTGGCCTGACCCTCCTGGATATGCACACTCCCCCTGGATGATATCCAGAGCCTCCCCATCCCGCTACTCACTGTGCGGACTCAGAGCCCTGGGGACAGCCACCATGACAGGGCCCTGGAAGTACAGCTGCTCCTCTTAGCTCAGCTCTCGGGGTACAGGCCCTTCCACCACACTAAGGGTGGGTGCACCTGAAGGACCCCAGGAAATCAGTTCAGAAAGCAAGGCAGCAGGAAGGGGCCTGGCCCTGAGGCCACAGGCCTGTGCTCTCTCTGACTGGAACAAGCAAAGGTTGCCGCCCACTGTGTGAGGCCACCGGGCAGCCTGGGAAGCCAGGTCAGCCCTTGTTGGCCCACCTGTCCAGTGACTTTGAAGTCAGCTTCTCTGAGTCTTAGTCTCCTGGTTAATAAAGCAAACACTCTGTGGCTGGGGAGGGAGCAGAATGAGTGAAGCCATCTGGGCAAGTCTCCATCTGCTATACGTGGGTGTATCTTACAAGACCAGACCCCAGTGAGATAGCCTTCCTTGTGTCCTGCCTGCAGCAGTGCTGTGGCTGCAGCTGCAGCCACCTTTCCTGGGGAGGTAGAGGAAACATACGGGCTGGGCAAGACCCTGAGGCCCTGCCGGAGGACACTGAGAGAATGTCATGGTTTGCCAGGAGACAAAGTGAAAGGAGGGCTAGGATGCTTCCAGGGGAATGGGCCTGGCCTCTCGTTAGTTCTCAGACTTCTTGAACAACACTATTTCCAGTATCCTGTCTGTCTCTGTCCCTCTCTGCTCCTGCCTGGAATAACTCCCCTGCTTCCATCCCATATCTTCCATGACTTTGACATGTTCCTTTGTTTACCTGTTTCTGCTGCCGCTCCAGAGGGAATGCTGGAGAGCAGGACAAGAGGTGTGTGTGTCCGCGTGACTCCTTTCCATTTTACAGCTGGGGGTGACTTCGAAGGCCACTGCAAGGCAGGGAGGGCATCCCAGGGGAGGCAAGCCAGCACCAGGACAGGCTGGCAACAGGGCCCAGACCTGGGCAGGTGGGAGAATGCCCAGGCTGAGCACCCTGAGGCACTCAAAAAACAGGCGTGACAACTGGAGCCACTCTTGAAGGCATAAGTGAGGTCAGGGAGGAGAGAGCAGTGAAATCTGGAAGCTCCTGAGAGGTTAGACCCCTCCTAAGCCACCTCAAATCCACACTGGGCCTGCCTCAAGAATTTCATCCTGCTCAGAGATGGTGGGCTCTGCACTGAGGGCTGGGGGGTAGCAGGTCTGGGGTCACACAGAGGGATAGCTGACCTCTCTCTTCCAGCCACTAGGTGATGGGGAAGTTGTGGGTGGGGGGGCTCCCGATAAAAACCAGAACGGGGCTGCTTCCGGTGAGTCTATGTGGGGTCCAACCCCTGTTTGTCAGAAGCGTGTGTGCCATGTTTTCAGAGTGGAGTCACTGCCCGGTGCTTGTGTTTGCTGGTGAGCTCTCCAAAGTGCGCTTGTTCCTTTTATGGGTGATGCGTCTGCAGTGTCCACTGTTCCAAGAAACCTGCTTCTCACACAGCCATTTTATGGCCTCCGAAGAAGCTTTTGGCCCTAACATGTCCCTCCTTTAGTGGACAGAGCCCTGAACAACTACAGTCTCTCAGGGTGACCTTCGGTTAGCTCCTCAAGGAGCAAGAATTCTTAGCATTGCAGCCCAGACCCAAAGAAGGGGAGCACTATGGCCTTCCTGAGAGATGGCCAGTGCTGTTGTCTGGGTGATCTTCCTCAGCCCAGCTAAGGGATAGTTGGCCTCCCAGGCCTTCTCGCTGGAGCTGAGGCATCTGACCAGCATTGCCCCATGCAGACTCCACACCTCTGACCTGCTAGAGAGTGGCAAGTGTTCCCAGATTCCTGGGCCTCCCCTGACCTCCCCACCACAAACCCATTCTCCATGTCCTCTGCTGAGAGCAGATGCCATGGCATCACCTTCCCAGAGGCCAGAGTTTTCCTTTCATTGAGCATCCAGACCCACTGTGGCAGTGTAGACCATGCTCAGTGCTCACTGTGCAAAGCTGGACTTCAGACAATGCTGGGGACAAACCTCAGCTCTCAGGAAGCACCATTCGAGCCAGATTGTTTGTGATGTTTCACCCCTCTCTTCAGAAGTTGGGTTAATGCCCAAGCTAAAAAGTAACTCATCAAGTCAGGAACTCGGGGATCAGGACTGCTGTACAACTCCAAGGGAGCCATTCCCACATGGTCTGGAGTTGTGCAGTGCCCATTCTGTACTCCCATACACAGCAGGGCTAGTGTGGTATGGGAATGTGTGTGCCTGGACAGTCCTCAGGGAGACCATTGGAGGGAAGGGGTTAGGAAGACGGGTCTGGCACAGCCCCCAAAAGTGCATTCTGGAGGCTTTGGGGGTGACTCCCTCAGCTTGCAGAGACTTTAGGCAACAGATTGCCACCTCTGTCCTGCTGAGTCCTGTGGTTCTGCTGAGGCAGTGACCTTGGGCCAGGAGGGCACCGAGCAGCTGAGCTTACATTCTTCTGTTTTGTTCTCTGACTTCTCCATGGTCTGATCTTTCACCCCTCCATGCTCTCCTCTCTCCCTATTCTCTGATCTTTCTCTCAACCCATTTTAGTCAAGACTCATCACTCAATGTCTGCAGGGAAAAGGGCCAGAGTGAGTTCCTCCTCCTGCCCCAGCTTCCTTCTGAACCCCAGGCACTGGGATCCTACTTCACACAAGGCCAGTGCAGGGATGGGCAGCTCCCAGGTCCTCCCAGAAGGCTGCTGCTCTGAGAGCCTTGTCAGGGAAGGGCAGGAGTCCTGCAGTCACAGGTGACAGTCACAGTGACAGTGAGCTGGTGGAGGCAGTTTAATTCAGGAATCCTCCCATTTCTGCATGGGACCTATTGGGAATTCATAGTATGCCCCTCTATGCTCTGGCAGGTCACTGCCCAAAAATTACCCCACCAATGCCCATGCAGAGAACTCGAGGCCTAATTCTTCCTCAGAGGCCACTGTTCTAGAGCCTGGGACTGTCCTTGTGATGGTCAAGCAGTCCCATGGCAATGTCTCCTCGTGCCATGGGTGGGATGGAAGAAAATCAAGGTGAGGAATCCCCCATGGGGCAGGCAGAGGCATCTGTGGAAGAGGCAGTGTGGTCATCAGACACTCCCTGCTACCAGTCCTGGTCTCTCGTAGACACTGCCCTCTGCAGCTGGCCCTGGACAGCTGAGACCCTGGGCAGGTCCCTTTCCCCTCTGGTCTCCCAGCTTGTGAGGTGGGCCGAGCCCTTGGGAAGGCTCTGGATGGCCATGTTTCTCCCTCTGCAGGGCAGAGGAGAGCATTGCTAGCCTTTGGGTCTCTTCATCTTAAGAGAAAGGAAGTAATGTTTGAGGGCTCAGGCGCAATGTCAGGGTCTGGCAGGCTCTGTGTGGAGCTGTTCTTCGGGGCTAGGCCCCCCTCTGGTCAGGATGGTGGAGCAGGGTGGGCAGGGCCCTGGACCTGTCTGAAACCCATCCTGCCCTCCTGTGCCCCCAGGGAGAAGTGGTGCCACATGACCCAGGAGGAACGGGATGACAGCCAACGGTTCAATGAGAACATCACCTTCGGGCAGCTGGGGTAAGACTGGGCCAGGGCAGGGCTGCCACCTCCAGGGTCACGCCAGCTGCTCAAGAGTCTGGGGATGAGCGCACTCGGCCTCTTCTGGTCCTAATCAGTCCTCTTGACACTGCCGTGGGGTGCGACTCCCTGGACAGCCGCTAGCCACCACTGGGTAACATGGCAAAGCAGACCCCACAGGGCCTCAGATCCCTCTCTGGACTAGTGGAGGCTGATGGTGGCCTGCGTTCTTCCTCTAGCACGTTCACGCACAACATGCTGGCCTTCGGCCTGAACAAGAAGCTGTGCAGTGAGTTCCTGAAGAAGCAGGCGGTGATCGGCAACCTGGATGAGGGTGAGCTGGGCAGCTGGGCAGGGGCGGCTCAAGGACAGCAGGACACACTTGGCACAGACACTGCACATTGAGGTTCCCACTTTGCCAGAAGGAGAGTACTTATCGTAGATAGAAATGTGCCATTAAACCTGCTTCACTGGCTCACCCTCCTTTCTCCCTAGTCTGTGCAAATACCCAGGGCTTTCCTGTTCCACCTGGAAGTCCCTTTCTGCTAGATAGGATGGCAGGTACTCTGGGAAGTCCCTGGATCCATGGGTACAGCAGGGTCAGAGGTAGATTGTGCCCTGGCCGCAGAAGACACTGCTCTTCTGCAGATCAAAACCCCAGTCATAAGTTGGTCCCTTCAGAACAGCTACCAAATGGCCTTGAACCCCAATGCCATGAAGGGTGGTGGAGAGTGGGGGGCAAAGGAGAGTCACGCAGGTTCTGCACTTTCCCAGAATTTCTGGCTCCATAACAGCAGGAAGCCTGCTGACCTCAGTGGCCTGGCCTACCCTGGAGCTGGCCTCAGGTCTCAACATCCACTTTTCTGGGCCCAGAGGCCTTGCACTTGGATGTGCATTTGGATCAGCCCGTGGGCGTAAAAATAAAAATTTCTACCCTGCACCCAGTTCCAGGAGGGCCACCGAAGACCAACCTCAGGAGGAGCAAGGTGTCTGTGGTCCCCTGGACAGTCAGTGCTGCCCAGCTCCTCCTCACCAGCAAAGGACAAGGGAAATACTGTCACCTCCCCATCACACGCCCTGTTGTGCAGTCCCCAGGACAAAGGTTATCAGACCCCACGTGCCTTCTTCCATGGGCTTCTGGGGACCATACTCCGTAACACCATTCTCGTGAAAGGGAGTGTTCCTGGTCCCAGGGCCACATCCCAGTGTGTGCATGCTTGACAGTGCCATCCTGGGGACAGGGGGCCATGTTCACCAAGCAATCTCCTGGCACAGCCCTGCCCTGGGATGGGGCATGAGTAGCCAGCAGCCCTGACTGGTCCTGACTCACCTTGGGCTAAGTGAGAAGAGTGGGCCATGCTGGTCCAGCTGCCATCTTTCTTCCTGGAACAACACTGTTTTCTCTTCCAGAGCAATATAGACTGCTCAGCGACCACATTGAGCAGATGGCCACTGACTAGGAGATGGCGGTGTGTGCCGCTCTCCGGGCCAGCGACTGGCTGTCACCCCATTGATGACCCTGCATGATGGCAGCAGCACCCAGAGCCGCCCTCGCCACCCTAGAAGTAGCAGATAGAAGACTCTAGCTGCCCTCCCCCGCCTGTGTCTGCTCCCCCATCCTCGTGCAAGCAGTCCTTTGGGTCCCACAGTTAAAACCCAAGGACCATCAACTCCTGAGCACCATGCTTGTGAGATGAGACCGAGAGGGAGGAGGAGGCTGTGGGCCAGGGTTCCTCAAGCTGAGGACAGGGGGATGGTAGGGACAAAGGAGGGATTGGCACAGCTGTGAGGTGAGGGTGGAACTGTGTGCAAGGAGGACAGACTGTGGCAGGCCAGCAGGAACATTCTCTGCCTGGGGACACTGGAGCTCTGCTGAGCAGCAGCATGTGAGGGTGGGGGTGGAGGGGTCCAGCTCTTCAGTGCGGCCCAGCTGCCTGCCCTGTTCCTACCTCCCTTTGTGTGACAGGAACCAGGAGTCACTGGAGCTCAAGGAGGGGAGTCACTGTTGCTTGAGAGACAGAGAAAGGGCAGGGGGAGATGCGGGTGCAGCAAGACCTGCCGCTGTGGCAGGGGTGTGAGCACTCTGACAGCTGGGTGTCCTGGGCCCACCAGATGTCTGCCACAGACCCTCAGAAGTGACTGCTCAGGTCAGCCTCCTTCAGAAGCAGAGAAAAGTTCCCAGCTCACAGGAGTGGCGTTGTGCATCTGTCTCGTGCAAGAAACCAGAAGAAAAGTTTTCTCACAGCAGCCAACAGCCACCCTTTCTGAGAGTGAATGGCACTACTCTCCCCACATGGAAGACTGGGAAGGGCAAATGTGGTGGCCACTGGCTAGGGCTGGTGAGTGGAATGGACTTGAGCTCTGAATGTGGTCACCATCACAGCCTCCACTGAAAGACACCTTTGCTCTCCGTAGCCCAGGCCTCTGTACTTCTCACCTTCCCATTTACAGACAGCCTTTCTCTAGTCTCCAGTGCCAGAATTAGCCTCCTACGTGCCCTTACGCCAGGCTGGCCCTCGAGTCCAAGGTCTGACCTGCAGCACTCAGAGTGCTGACATTGGAACCTGCTGCCCCCGTGCACACCTTGCCGGCAGCCTGGATTTTCTCCACCATTGCAATTCTGATCACTGACGTTGAACTAGGCCTACAGGCCTCCTTTTGACCTTCATCACCCACTTCCCTCCCTGTCCTGTGGGCTTCAGTCATGTTCTGTCACAGTCCGTCTTGAAGTACAACACTCCTGATGGTCACATGACATACCCAGCTGCTGTGCTCCAGCCTTCCCTACAGCAAGCTCCTCCCTGGAATGTTCCAGAGTAGAGCAGGGATGGGTTGAGCTGAGGAAGGAGTGTGTCCTGGACATTGGATGATGGACAAGAGAGGCAGCACGAGTGGATACCACTAAGGGACTTGGTTAACTACTGCCGGCCAGAGCAGGAGCACGGGGCGGCCACTGGTGGCACGGCGTGAGTATTGTTCTGGCCACACAATGATGCCACCAGCCAAGGAATGGCCACATGGCAGTGTGTGTGTCAAGTGCTAAAGCAGACCGTGCCTGCGGAGCGCCCAGCCATAGTGCACATCTCCGCCGCATCTGTATTAGGGAAAGGATGTCAAGTTAATCAGCATGCAGGCCTCCTCACTCCTGTGCCACCTTCCCATAACATGTCCCTTCTAATGCTCACGCGGCCCCTGGATGCCTCTGTCCCCTTTGGAAGAGTTGCCCTGCAGGAGGCACAGAGGCTTCTCCCTCAGCAGTCCCGATCTTGGTATTAGTGTTAGCTGAAGTCCATTACGATTCTACTCATAGTGCCCACGAGACTTACCCCGTATACAGAAGAGTCTTGTAGCGCAATCCCGACGTGGACTGAGTTCTGAGGCCCTCCAGGTGCCAGGAGCCAGGCACAGCCTTCAGGAGGGGGAGGAGTTTTGACTTCTCCTGACTTTGTGAGTACTTGGACTTGAGAAATGACCTTAAAGGGCTGGGGACCCAGCTCAGGGTAGAGTGCTTGCCTGGTGTGTGTAAGGCGCTGGCTTTGATCCCTAGCACTACAAGTAAACACAAATGACCTTGAGACTTGGTGCCACCCAGAGCAACTGGAGGAGGACATGAGTATGACTTTGCTTTGTCTTTTCTCCTCCCTCCTCCTCTTACATAGCAAGCTCCACAGAGGTGGGGTGAGCCTGCTGTGCTCAGGTCACATCGTGCTGCCTGGGACCTGGCGGGTCTGCTGGGGGACATGGTGGCCTCCCTGGGCTGTGAGCAAAGCTGCAGGTGTTCCAGAGGCTGTCCCAGCACCCCTGCAGACAGCTGGCTGTGGAGAGCATTTTGCCTCTGGGTGCCCCTGTCCAGTGTCTCCAGGAGCAGGCTTGGCATGCCTGAACGAAGGTCAACAGCTTATCCCCTGTCATCCCTGACGCATCTCTCCCCCAGAGCCCCACCAAACAGGCATGAGCTGGGCCCCCTTGTGAGGCACACACAAGACTTCTGTGGCATGAAGGGGCTCTGGCAACCCTGCTGAGCTCAGGAACCGCAGGCCCGGGGCAGGGCAGCCAAGCAACTGCAGAGAAGTCTCAGTCCCCTCAGTAGTGTGGCAGAGCCATATGCTGGGAGAGCCCCGTTAGCAGGGCATTCGGATCTCCTGCTGTCTGACCTTGTGGGACATGTGAATCGGTGAACCAACGCAGTACTGGAAATCCCTGCTTTGAAACCAGCTTTGTGGTGTGGCATTGGTCAGCAGCGTTGGTAGGTGTGGAGCCGTGCCCCGGACTGCTCCTGCTGTGTTTCCCGTGTTGCGTCTCACCACAGACAGGAGAAGTGACTTCTGGTATCTTAAGTTATCTGTATGGTGAAAGGCTGGGGGCTCATCATTTTCCTGTTGCCCAAAGAAAGAAAGTGGGCTGAGGAGCTCGGTCTTATGAAAAGAGGACCAGAGGACAGTCCAGTGTGCTAGCTCTGTCTGCATGCCAAGCTTGGGCCTCAGAACCCAGGCTGAGCTTAGAACCAGTGCCATCACTTGGAGCTGAGCCTGTGCTGATTCAGTCATAGGCTGCTTGGGTCTCTCCTTTCCCTGAGGGGAAGCAGTGGGCCCCCTGGTCCCATGTCTGAGGCTAACGTCATAGCCCATTTATGTGGTAGAAGGTGGTAGTGGTGAGGCCAGCTCTTCCGTGGGCTGCTCACCACTCAGGAGCACCTGCTATGCAGGTTCCCAGGAGAGAGATCCAGACTTCACATCGCTTAGGTGTGTTGGGGTCACCTTGCCACAGCCAGGACTGTAAGATGCACACCCAGCTCTCCTGGGTCATGCTGACTGGTCAACTTTGAATTCTTACCCAGGTACCCAAGACTTCAGACAAAGGACAGCCAGGTACGCAGAAGCTTGCCAAAAATAGGAGCTTGGGAAAGGGGAACTTTAAAACCAGATGTCCCCTGTCACAGAAGGGCAAAAGAGGGACTCGTGCGGGCAGCGACCCAGCCCCAGCCTCGGGGAGGGCGTGAGAGCCCCTCTCAGAGGCTGAGCTGGCCTCCCCTCCCCACACCAGACATCTGCCCAGTGCTGGGCTCTGCAGCCGTCCGGCTCCAGCTCGTTCGGCATCATCCTGCCCCATTGGTCCCCAGGGGCCCAGTATGCACAGCCCTGGAGATGCGTTTTGCTTGACCAGCTTTCCGCCAACGTCCACAGTTGCAGCTGAGTGAGTTAGACAGGCCCCTGGGGGTCTCTCGAGCCATGCTCAGGCCGCAGACTCACTGGCTTCCTGCCCCCATGTGGATTGTCCACCCTGTCACGTGCTGCAAACTGGTGTACTGACCAGACGGAGTGAGTGGTGAGCACAGCCTTAGGAAGTCTGTCCACTATGGCCGGCTCTCTAGGGGCCATCATCCTGCACCTATTTCCCTTTGCATCTCTGGGCCTGGGTGTCACCAACTATGCTAGGGAGGGATGGAGTCCAGGACCTCTCTGGGGCCAGCCTGCCCTGCTTCCAGGTGACCACCCACATCCTGGTGCTGGCCACAGGGTCGGTTCAGGCAGTGTCCCCATTGGCAGTCAGCCTGAGCTCTGAAGAGTAGATGAGAACAGAGCTGGGAGTCCCCTGAGCCAGGCTGTGTCCACAGGACATGAGTGGGTGGCACCCCCATTCAAGGTTCAGTTCCTGCGAGAATCGGGGAGACTTGCCATTCCCAGCTCTGCACTCTCTACCCTCCCGACCGTCCCACAGGAAATCTGAATTTTGGGGTAAGCCAGCCCCGACTAAGCCTCAGACTTCAGGCTCTGACAGGCAGGGTGAGGCAGAGGCTGCCGCGGCCCACACTCCCCAGCTGCACTGCACTTTATCTAGAAAGATCTGACGTGGCGGGCCCCTGCTTCTGGACAGTGTATTCACCAGAAGGGGGAGGGAACATGGTGCTGGGGTTGAGGCTGGCCCTGGGGGAGGTGGACACAATCTCCTTCCTTGTGAGAGACAATGGCATTGCTTGGGTTCAGGTGTCAGGGGAGGGGGACACCTTGAAATGAGTCCACACTTGTCTGCTAGGGAATGCTACAGGCTCAGACAACACGCATGTCTCCCTAAAACGTGAGCGAGTGCCGTAGGACCATTAGTCTGTAGCCCTGTCATACGGTGACATTGGTGGCTCACATGCGCTTCCCTACACCTGCCATCACCAGCTATAAACATTGCCCCCCCTGGAGCCCCAGCGATGCTGGTATTCGGTGTCACCGTTATGCAATCTTGTGTCCTGTAGGTAATGTTCTCAAATTATTTTAAGGTTGAGAAAATGTCAGGGCTAAAGGTCTCAAAGCAGTGCTAAAATCAGAGCTGTTCCTGTGAAGAAAAACAAATGCGTCTAATGTGTCACACCTTGGATTGTCAGAAGGTGGAAAGTGAAGTAAATTATCTTTTAAAAGAAGGTCTTGGAACTTGTTTTCCCACATCCATGAGGGCCCCTCATAGGTCCGTGGTCTTCTCAGTTGCCTTGGTGGCTTTGCAGAGATGTCCATGCCTCCCCCTTAGGCTGAGCACCAGGTCCTGTCTATGGGCACGGGGAAGGGGCCTGCGAAAGGGCCATCTAAGGACAGAGCAGCCAGTGGTCTGCTTGGCCACTCTAAATTAGAGAATGAAGTATGTCTGGACTGGACCCCAGCCCAGGCCACCAGGACTCTAAATGCTCTCAGTCCTGCTCCTGCCTGAGCCAAGGCCACCTCCCTCACACACTGGGGGCCCTGGGGGCAGGAGGGAGACCCCAACCACAGTTCCCACCCGATGTACAGCTGGGTTTATCAGTCCTTTCCAACTCGGTTCCACAGACAACTGTGAACTGGCTGGGGCGAGCTTTCACTACAGAATACGAAGGACAACATATCCTCTTACCTCTTATCTATTCTGTGAGCCTCTGAGGGCTTTAGCTATTTCTTGGTGAGCATCCTGTCTGGTGGGCTCAGTCAGGGGAGAATTCCTGGCAGAGGTGTTGTGCAGCTGGGTCTTGGGTAATAAAAATCACTGGGGTGATGACACTTGTCCTACAATGATACTAGGAGAGGAAGACACGAGTCTCTCACTTTGCAGATGAGAACACTGTGGCCCCCACTCAGGGAATGAAATCCAGGGCTGTCCAGCTTCCAAAGGGCATGGCTGTGGGCCAGCTAAGTGCGTCCGTGTTTCTGCCCCAGTCATACTTTCTTGTTTCTTTTCTTTTTCAGTCGTACTGTATAACCTGCCAACCCCAAAGGGTGTGTGCTGTCCAGGGACAGAGACGTTCAAATGTGTGCAGGCATGGAATCCAGTTCCAGAGCCCAGCCATGTCCACAATGGCTTCTGTCTCACCAAGGCATGCCACCAGGGAGGAGCAGACTCCCCCACCACTCTGGAAACAGTGCAGGGGTCTCATCCCCCATGTGTGCACCTGGGGGGTCAGGCAGACATCCACCCACAACCCTTCACCCCTCCTCCTATCCTCTCCCCCGCCTGCCCGAGGACCTCTGTGATGTGTTTTGGCCCTGAGGTCATGCCTACACATGTGTCCATGTGTCATGAGCTGAACTGTGACACCCAAATCCATACATTGAAGTCTTAGGTCCCGGGTTTGCAGAGTCTAGAAGCGGAATCCTGGAGAATGTGGTTGGGTGGAGCCATGGAGAGCAAGGACCCTCGTTCTATAAAATAGGGTTGCAAATGGGAGAACTGGGCACAGGCTGAGTGCACACAGGGAGGACTCCATGTGGAAGTGCAGGTCGATGTCGGACCACTTGTCTACAAGCCAAAGACAAGGATGGCCAGCCCCCACCCCCGCCACTGGACTGGGGACAGATAGCTTCTTTAGCCTCAGAGATAGCTGACCCTGCCCACACCATGGTCCCCAAAAGAAAATTAATTTCTGTTGTTCAAGTCCCCCAGTTTGTGGCACTGGGTCTCAGTGGCCCCAAGAAGCCAACCCGCCCTGCTTTCAACCTTAGCACAGGTAGGAATCACCTGCCTGCAGATCAGGGAAGGATCTGGTAGGAGCCTCACAGCATTCGGCACTATGCACCAGGCAGTGTGCCAGGCATGGTGATCCCCAGAGCAACCTGCACAGACAAGGAAACTGAGGCCTGGAGGATCCGTGACCCCTGAGGGTACAACAAGCAGAGCCTGCTGAGGTCCAAGGCCAGCCCAGTCCTTCTGTCTGTCACAGGGATCCTCTTCCTAGTTCTGGCGTCCCCGCCCCTGTCCTCTGAGGTCCTCCAGGGGGGCCTCCTCCACAGAACCAGCCTCACTCGCCTCCTCTTCTTTCCTCAGACTCTGCAAGGTGCTCTGTGTGCTCTAAATAATGAGTAATAAAAATCACAGCCACGGAGTGAGTTACAAGAATGGCAAACCTCGAGTTGCTGAGGACAGAGTTCTATAGGGTAGCCCTGCAAGGAGAGTGCTGGGCCACTTTGCAAATGAGATGCTAAGGCCCAGAGAGATCAAGAAACTGTCCCAAAAGCACACAGCTGAGAGCTGTGGATTTGGACCACGATGGCCTGACTTAATGAGCAAACTTCTTTTAAGAGAAAGTTGTCCTGAAAACATGAGACGCCTCCCTGCGTGGTGGACTGCCTCCTCCAGCCACCAGCCACAGCTCCTGGGGACTACACCTGCCCCAGCTGGCATGGGGCTCATCAGTGTCTCTTTAGCCTTCCCAGCTGAACTCTGAAGCCTTCCGCATGGAAATGCAAGTGTGGAACGCTGGCCCCCTTGGGTCCACGCAGCCTTTACTTTTCTAACATCCCAGACAGCCTGAATCTGAAACCAAGGGCCCCAGTGGACGCTGGCGGGCAGTCCCGTTCCCTCAGAGCGCCTCTAGGGGGCGCATGGAACACATGTGTCCTAGGGAAGGGCTGCGACTGGCTGAGTCGTCATTGCTTCAACTTCAAGGCAAGGGTCACACCCAGGGGTTCCCACCCTGCCCAGCAGCACCACCTCCCTTCTTCCGGTCCCTAGATTACAGCCCGCCCACCTTCCCTGGTCTCTCCACTGTGTTGTGGGTTTAATTCCCACGCGTGATCAAGTGCTTACCTGGCTGGCAAGAGGTGAAGGGACAGCTGCAGAGCTGAGGTTGGTGAGTGGCCGGGCCTCTCCGTGCTCATAAACTCCATGCATCTTGGCTCTAAAATCCTGCAAAAAAGAGATTGGGGCGGATTGGATTCAATCGGAAAGCACAAGGGAAGGGGGATGGGAGGCAAAGACGGGGTCATGTCTGCCTCCCGTTATCCCCCTCGACTCCACATCAGCCCTGTGAGACAGCATTGGTGTCCCGTGTTACAGATGGGGAAACTGAGGCCCAGGGAGGCCAGTTAACATGTCCATAGTCACACAGGAAAACAGCTGGTTGAAAAATCACCCTGGCCCTGCCCAAAAGAATATTCTAGATCTGCCTGTAATCTATGATCCCAGTGCTCAGGAGGCTGAGACAGGAGGAGCAGGAGTTTGAGGCCAGCCTGGGCTACATAGTGAGACCCTGTCTCAAAAAACAAAGCAAGACAGAAGATATGGCAGAGATGAGGGAAGGCGTGGGGCTCCTGGGCGCCTCACTGACCCTTCTACTCTCAGTTCTTTGAAGCCTCTCCCGTGGGAGCTGGGGCGGGTTCCCTGCCTAGGATGCCAGCCAGTCCTACTGGTCCCCTTCTAACAGATGCTGCGGCAAAGCCTCAGGAGCTTCTTCTGGGGCTGGTCACAAAGGCCACAAGCTTCTGCCTGTGTCTCAGCCTCTGTCTCCACCGCCCTGTGAGGGGAGCCCTGCGGTGTCCGGCTGCAGTCACTGGGGCCCTGTCCGCTTTGCTGTCATTCAGTGTCACTGCACATATGTCTGCACTGGGCCCTGCAAGTCATGTGTCCTGTGCCCAGAGGACAGCCATCGTCTGCCAGACATGGGTGGAGACCACTCCAGCCTGCAACTAACCACACCGCACAGCCCAGCTGAGCCCGGACAACCCAGAGCCACCCAAGACCACGGTGACAAGGGGTTGTGCTTTACTCGGGGTCTGGAGCTGTTGCTATAGATGGTGCCAGTCCTGGATTCAATCAGATCAGTGGGGACAATAAACCCTTCAAACATCAAGGTTGTGCCAGGCATCCACACAGAGGGACTTTTGGTCACTGCTGGGTTTTGGTGGGGGAAGGAGTGGTACTGGGGTATGAACCCAGGGCCTCAAACTTGCAGGCCCCTACCACATGAGCCATGACCCCAGCTCTTTTTGCTTAATTTATTTTTTGGGTAACGTCTTCAAGTTCTTGCCTGGGCCTGGCCTCAGACAGAGATCCTTCTGACTGGTAGCTGAGGTCACAGGTATGTGCCACCAGGCTCAGCTTATTGATCAAGATGGGGTTTTGCTAATGATGGAGACTAGGCAGAGAATTAGGAAACCTGATGGGCTGAGACCCACGGCTTGGATGTTGCTGGCATGAACAGAATGGCTGGGACACATAGCAGGGTCTCATTGACCTGGAGCCCACAGTAAACATCAGCCCCAATCTGACTATCCAAGGCCACCCCTGCCCCGCACGGGCATGTGGAGGAGTTGATGACACATAGCTCAGTCTCTGAGAGTCTCTGAGAGGTAACGACACATACCATGTGTCTCTGCAGACCCCAAGTTCAAACTTCTGCTTGAGGTCTTTTTTCATTTTGGGGTGGTACTGGGGCTTGAACTCAGGGCCTCGTGCTAGCTAGGCAAGAGCTCTACCACTTGAGCCCCTCTGCCAGCCCCTGCTTGACATCTTGGCACCACCAGGGCAGCGCTCCTTCTTGACTCTGCCCACCTCCTGTTGAGGGTGCACCTCCACTTTGCTTGGCAGCAGTTAACCTGCCCCGGACTTCTTATCAGCACAACCGCAGCACTCCTTGTGCTCAGCTGCCCGCGGCTTCTCTGTCCCCTAATAAACTCACTTCTCCTACTTTCTCATCTTGGTAAATTCTTTTACCAACCTGCAGCACCAAAAATCCCTGACAACTGTCTTTGCCTGGCCTGGCCTTCAACCTCGAAACTCTCGATGTCTGCCTCCCGAATAGCTGGGATTACAGGTGTGAACGACAGGGCCTATCGCCCAGCTGGTCCTCAAGCAGCCCATGACAATGGTCACGCTAGTATTCCAGAAAGCACAGGCCAGCCCCTAGGGCAGGTATTTCAAGTAGTTCATCAGAACAAGTTTTCAACGTTAGAAAATTGCTAGGGGGGTGGTTCAAGTAGAGTGCTTGCCTAGCATGCATGAGGCCCTGGCTTCCATCCCCAGCAGTGCAAAAAATAAACAGCAAAGTGCTACCAACAAAACCTGCTTCCGTCAAGACAGAGCCAAAATAGAACTGCCCCCCCCCCCCAACACACACAACCACAGACTAGGAAGGGGCTTCTGGGGCCCACCTGCAGGTCTCCCTCCAGGTCGTAGTTTTCCAGAGTCCGGAAGGCACAGGCATACACCTCCACTGCCTTAGCGTGGAAGACCATTTCGATGCTCACAAAATCCAAGAAAATCCTCTGCAGGGAGAGAAGCCAAGTCACATGGGCAGCAGTGTGGGGAATGTGGTGGACAGGTGGGGCTGGCCCCGGGGTGGCCCTCCTGGCGGGGACACTCGCGTGGTGTTTTTAATAAGGAGGTTGGAATTTATCTGTGTTTGGACCAAAGGATCCATTAGAAGGCTCAGAGTTAAAACTGAGGCAAGGTATTCATTGGGGACCATCCAGTTCCCCCCTGCCCGTCTGCCTCCTTGAGAGAAACCTTCCAGAAATTTTTCCCAGGGCCCTCTCTCCACGGCTTCCTCGGATAAATGGTGTTCTCTTCTGGTCACCGTGCTCGGGCCCTGTTTTCAGTTAACCCTGGGCTAACTTGCAACTCCCTGTGCCTGTTTGTCAAGGCACAGTGATGCTTCGTGTGCATGGGTGTGATTTTTTTGACCATCCCAGCACTTGAACACTTAGATGGTTTTGTCTTCTGCTGTTCCAAACCAACATGGTCACAAAGACTCGTACAAGCCACCATTCTTTCACCCTGGGCTGGGGCAGCTGTGGGGCGAATTCTAGGAGCAGCACTGCAGGGTTCAAGGTCAAAGACACTTGTGCCTTCCGTCAAAGCTGCCCGTTTGTCAGCACAGGACCTCACTGCGATTGCGGGAGGTCTGGCCTCTCCTGGAGGACTTTCAGAAGCATCCTGTCCTCAGCTCTGTCACCTGCACTCAGTGCCTGTGAGTGGTGCTGTGGGAAGAGGCTACAAACCTTTCACTCCCCTCCCACACCCAGGGCTGGGGGGAGGCTCCCCGTAAAGAGGGGCACTGCTCAGCCAGAGGCCCACAGCTTGACTGGGGCCTGTGTGGAAAAGCAGGCTTCTCCCATGGCAGCTGCACTGGTTGAGGGAGCCCTGGCTGAGCAGTCTGCCTGCCAGGCCCAGGATGGGCAGGAGCTCAGAACCTACCAGCTCAGTAACGGGGAAATTCAAGGGGGCAGGGTGAGCAGAGGGCAGGGCCAGCTGGGTGAACATACCTGCCTGCCACCCTGAGAAAGGACACCTGTCTGCCTCAGTTTATCCCTCTGCAAAGTGGGAAGGCAAGCAGGCCCAGGTCACAGAGCCCCTGTAGAGCCAGGCAGAGCAATGGCTCAGGCTGTGCCCTTGCCTAGGTGGGGCCAAGGAGTCCCAGAGACTCTGACTCCGGGTTGGGCCCACAGCCTGTCTGATGAACCTCCTGTGGCATCTGAAGCAGCTCAGAGAACAGGTAAGAGAGCCCCCTGTCCCCACCTGCTCTCTCCAAAACCAGAGAGCCATTTATGCAGCATGATAGTCGGAAGGGACCCTAGAACCAGTATTACAGTAAAACTGATGAGTTCAAGCTCTTGTTTTTATCTCTCTTCTCATTTGGAGAAAATGAGAAGAGAGATAAAACCCAGGAGGGTTTGGTATGTGTCACATGGATTTAAGGCTCCCCAGGCACACGCATCAGGCCTTAACAGCGGCTCCTGGTAGCCCTGGGCTCTGCCCACCCTGCTGGGGAGAAGGCCAAGTGCCAGCTTCCTGTTCCATTGCCCGCGTCTTCACTCCCTCCCTCACGAACTCGTTCACCCACTCCACAAATATTCACTGCGTGCCCACCAAGTGCCAGCCCTGACATGGTGGCCAGGACCCAGCAGGGACTTACTGTGCAGTGTGGGAGGCAGGTGTAGCCCCCATGGAAAGGCTCAGGCAGCCATTGACCCCGTGGTCTGCCCCTCCCCCAAGGACTCTTGCTCTGTGGGTTCTGCAACCCAGCCAGCAGCAGGCATGGTGCCCAGCATGAAGCAGGTATAGATTCAACATTTGTTAAATTAATGTGCAGATTAAATATGTAATTAACTAGTCACCTTGGGTTAGAGGACCCTGGAGGAGCAAAGCAGAGGTTATCAGTCAGGACTGACAATCGTGGGTCCTCAAGGAATGAGCCTCTGAAGGATGAGGTTGTTAAGTTGATACAGTGGGGACAGAAACTTTCTGACAAAGCACACAGCCAGTGCAAAGGCCCTGGGGCAGGAATGGGGAGGGGAAACAAAGCCTGGAGTGTGGGGCCAGATGAGGTGGAGGACTGGAGCTCAAGAGCTGTGGGAGGATTTTGCTCACTCTCTTTGGAAGCCCCCCAAGAGTGTAAAACTCAGGAAGGACAGATCTGATCTGTCTGTTAAGAGGCCCCCAGGGCTGCACTTTGGAAAGCAGACAAGACAGGAGTGGAGAGAGGGGGCTGGGACCTCGTGGTCAGCTTGTCCTGAAAGACCTCAGCTTCCTGAGACCCTCTTGCAAAAGCAGGGCTTGGGCCCAAGATTCTGTCACATGGCTGGGGGTCTGGTGGATGGAGGGGCACTGTGCCCACCCCACTGCATCTCATTCCAAAGGGGCATTTGGAGCTTTGAGGGGGACCAGGGCCTCCTTGTTCACAGCTTGGAAGCTCGCTTGGTGGACTGACTGCTGTGGTTGCCTCCCAGGCAGGAGCTGCAGTAAGGTCCTCCACATGGCTCCCGGTGGCCATCTGTGCACTTAGGCTTCTCACTTGGGGTCACTGCTCCCAAGGACCACATGGGCATGAGAGGCACACATGTACATGTTAACATGGAGACACACAGGCACTTACACACAGACGCATGCACACTCACACATGTGCACACAGCGGGGCACCTATGCTCTACCTGGAGGTCTCTCAGTTTCTGCTCCTGGAAGGCATCCACTGTCTCCTTTAGCTGCTTGGTGGTGTGGCTGGTGTCCACTGAGGCCCTCTGGGCGCTGGTCTCCGCCTGGCCCCAGGAATGCAAAGGGGAGAAGGTGTCATGGAGGAAGTTCTGGCCTTAGACACCATTCTGGATTGCTCTCAGTCCCATACCCTTCTCTCGGCCCCTCTTCTGCCTCATGGGTCATCTCCTGACAACTTGGTCATTGAAAGCATGTCTGAATGGCACTGTGACTGAAGGGGTGGTCACTGGGGTCAGACAGACAAGCTTGCTAGCTGTGTGGCCCTAAACAAGTCACTTGACCTCTCCGAGGCCAGATTTCTTTGCCTGTAAACAGGAGACAGCAATAGGACCTGATTTGCAAGGTGATTGTAACAATCTCACAGCAGCACTGCTTGAGTGTTATCCACTGGTGCTGTTCCTCCTTCAGTGACAAGGAATTCCTGCCTGTGGCACGCTGGTGGGTGACAGCTCCTCCATTCCTTTGATTGATGTCTGCTGAAGCCTGCTGTTTGCCAAGCCCAGATGCAAGGAGCCTGGGTTTCAGTGAGCTGTCGTTGGAACTAGGTCCTAAGTTTGCCACTTTGTCCTTAATACCACACTCAGGATTGTATGCCTGGGGTAGAGCAAGGGAGGAGCCTGGCATCCAGGAAGCCCCCAATAAGGAAGGGGAGCTGTTATCCAAACCAATGGCTGGCAGATGGCGGGGGATACAAGCAGGGACCAGGACAGAATTTGGAGGTGCCTGCGCCAGAATGAAAGCCACCCCTATGTAGATCGGAAGTTCTTCCTGGCACTATTGTTCCTTTCATGCAGGATGCTTGGCAGTGTCTGTGGCCTTTGTCCACTAACCACATGTGACCCCAGTGCCCGTGTGTGTCGCCTTCCACAGTAAAGGGGACTTTGGAATACAGGTGGGATGCAGGTTACTAATTCCAGCTGCCTTGGAGATGGAAAGTTATCCCAGGTTACCTGGTAAACCCAGTGGAACCCCAGGGTCCTTAGGAGTGTAACAGGAAGTGGGGAGAGGAAAGTGAGAGAAAGGTGTGACTACAGAGGACAGCCCATGAGCCAAGGGGTTGGAAAAGGCAGGAAATGGATCACCCTGGCACCCCCAGAGGGAACACAGCCCTACCCACCCTGGATGTAGCCTGGAGGGACCCTTGGTGGGCTTCTGACCTCCTAATTTGTAAGAAGGATGTTTGTGCTGTTTAAGCCACAAAGTCGGTGGCCATCTGTCTCTATGGTGGTAGAAAGCTAACACATACAGTAGCATCGTCTAGTCATGACAACCCAAAATGTCCCCAGGGGTCAAAATGGTCCCAGGTGAGCCTTTAGGCAAGGTCACACACTTGGTGACAAAATGGGCAGAGGTGGCTCCACCAGCCCAGACTCCCTGCCCCGCCAGGCTGTGCTGACTCCCCACTCCATGTGCTGTGCCCTGCCCTGGGGTTCCTGAGCCTCTCTGAACCTGCTTCCTCACCTGAGTGCAGAGATGGTGCTGGAAGGGCCTCCTGCTGTGATCACAGGACAGGTGACCCTGACGAGGACCCTGAGGCCTGTTCAGGCTTGCTGGACACAGCCCTGCTCTCCTGATCCCCCCGTGACTGTCCCCTGGACATTGACCCTGCCATGCAGAGCTCTGGCCCTGCACCCTTGGGTCTCTCTGCCCAGGGAAAGCTCACCTGGCTGTTTTGTGAGGTCTTTCATTACCTGCCTGTGATTCTGCCTGTCCCAGATGGACACATGACACTCACCTGGGTCTAAGTTAGACTGTTAAGGAGCCAGGTGATTCCCAGGCAACCCACTGGGTGGTCCACTCCCATCTGCCCCTGCCCAGCAGGCCTGTGGTGTGAAAGCCCCAGAGGACACCATGCACAGTGGCCACCCTGGCCCAGTAGCTCTGGGCCCAGCTTCCTAGAAGGATACAATCATTTGCCGATCTGAGGGTGACTTCTGCCTCAGTTTCTCCAGCTTCTGTAGTTGTTTGATCTCATTATTTCGGACACGTTTAAATTTCTTGATCTCAGCCTAAAGAAAAGGAGACGTTGTTTTCCGGGATTCTGTTGGGCCAGACCCCACTGCCGCCCACCAGAGGTGTCCCAGCTTACCCGGGTCTGCTTTATCTGGGTGCCGTACAGCTTCAGGGGGTTGATGACCTTGGCCTCCAGCCTCTCGACCTGCAAAGCACACGCAGCAGCTCACCAAGGGGCAAAGCAAACACAGCCTCCATGAAGCACCATCCACACCCAGAGCTGCAAGAAGCATGGAGTCACCAGAGCTGGGGCAACACAGGGTCTTCCACCTGTTTTCAGGGCCTGGCTTTGCCTCCAAGGGCTAAGCCTCCCAGTCTAACCTGGGAGTTGGGACAACTGTACCCCAGGGTGTCACTTCAAGTCAGTAGGACACATGCTATCCTGAGGAGGACAGCACCTGGTACAGGCCTGGGTAAAGATTGTCACCCCCAACATCTTCACCAGGCTGGGTGGCAATGAGCCTCACTTTGGGTACAAGACTTGTGTTGAGTCACAGCAGGTCAGAAACAGGACCACAAATCCAGATCTTTCTCACTCCAGGCCCTGGCCTGATTTCAGCTCTCAGATACCTGGGAGTCTCTGAGGCTACTTGAAGAACAGAACGTGTGAGTGTGGAATGGCTGGGGGTGTAGCTCCCACCACTCACTGTGCATCTGCTAAGTACAGGACAAGGCCAGCAAGTGGGCACAGTACAGGATGGACAGGGCGACCCTGCACTGTCCCAGGTCATGAGACTCCAGATCTGGCAGCTCAAGAGGGGGAGCCCAGGGCACCACCCCCAGAAGGGCCTGGAGTAGCCTGGGAGTCTACATTCATAATATATTCTGGTGATGCAGCCATGGGGGCCTGAGAGGAAGCAGTTGTCCTACTATCACCTGGTCCCAGCTCCTTGGGAACAGGGCATGAGAGTGAGCTTGCCACAGGCCTGGAGGGGCCTCAACCCCACCCAGCCTCCTCAGCCAGGGCTCTGGTCCTTGAGGAGAAGTGCCTACCTAAAAAAAAGACCATTTCCCTGAGTGCCACAGAGACAGGGACTTTCCCCACCCTCGCTTTGCACATTTCTTTCGGAAAACTAGAGTTAGAAGTCCTTCTTCTGTCCCTTTGATGTCCATAAACCTTGCAACAGCTGCATGAGCCTCTTGTCGGTGGCCTAAGGTCTTTCACAAGGGCCTGGGGCACATGCCACAGCGCAGACACCGAGGAAAATGGAGCCTGTCCAACTCCCTGCTCTGCCTACCCCGCTTGGCACAGACAGAAATCTTCATTTTCCTCTAGATGAAGACAATTAGTGGGTTGGTGGAGTGGATCAATGGCAGAGTGCCTGTTTAGCAAGCATGAGGCCCTGAGTTCAAACTCCAGAACCACCAAAAACCAAAGACAGATAACAATTAATGGGTACCTGTGGCTGCCCGGTTACCAGATGAAATCAGTAGGTAATGTGTGAAAACTGGAGCGACAGTCATCATTTGTCCTGAGCACATGTCTGCATGGGGCTGTGTCTGCCTGGCCGCGTGGACTGGGAACTTTATGTCTGCCTCCACCTCTCTGTTGCTTTGCCTGTAACCTGTGACATGCTCACCGCCTGGTTTAGTGCTCTGCCAATGGTAGACCTGTTTCACTCTTCTCTACGGAGCACTTTTCTGGCTTGGCATATTTCTATGTCCACGGCCCCTTCCATCCTCCTTGCCACCTATGCCCCTGCCCAGGATTCCCTGGGATGAGCCTCCTGCAGGAGGAGCCTCCTGGACTGGCTTCCAGGATCTCTGTTCTTGGGTGCAGTTCTCGTCCAACACAGCAAAGCCTCCAGCTCTCGGGCCTATCGATGGCATGACCCCGAGGAGGACTGCTGAGTGTGTCTGTCCTCCTGGGAGACATGCCCATGGGCCCCAGTGTTCCAGCCCTCACACCTGACCTTGGCCAGTGGTCTGGGCCAACCCCACTCACCTCAGCCTGTCGGTAATCCTGCACTTTGGCTAGATCCTCAGCGAAGTCCCTCATGGTGACCCGCAGCTCGGGGTTCTCGGTGTTGGCAAAGTCAATCAGCTGTTTGACCAGCTGGTCCGCCTTGTCCCGCAGCCGGGCAGTCTTGCGTGTGTAGGAAGCCAACAGTGAGCAGAACTGGCCAAAGTACTTCTCAGCGTTGGTCACCGTATTCTCCATCACCTTCACCTGGCTGTCCCTGGGGAGGCAAGGGCCTGAGCCACTGTGCTGGGCAGTGACACCCAGATGACTCAGAACACTGACACAGGGCCCCAGTTGTGCTGAGAGCAGACAAGGTCATGGTCACAGCTGGTGGCTCCTGTGAGCAAGCACCACCAGGTACCTGGGCCAGGATGGTGCTCATGTGACAGCATCAGGCCCATCGAGGCAGGTGAAGGAGATTTGCTCAGGCCCAGGCAGGACACAGACACAGCTTTGCTCAGAACCTGGTCCTGCTCCTCCCAGGACCCTACATAGGGCTCCACCTCCCCCAACTCCTGTTCCTTCCATAGTCCCCAGCTGCAGAGGCCCCTCCCTCTGAGGCCCCCTATACGTGGCCCCAGGCTGTGAGAGCGCTCCCTCTCCTGATCCCTGATAGTTTCTTTTTAATGAATAAACTTGGGGAGGGTGGGAGCAGGCTTACAGAGAAACCAAGAGAAAGGTGCCGAGAGTTCTGCATAACCTCCTCACCCCCTTCCCGGCATCTTGCTTGGCGTGGTCTATTCCACACATCATTACAGTTTCTGTGAGGGTCCCTCTGGGTGTCACACACTGTAGGTTTTGACAAATGCACAGTGCCATGTGTTCCCATCATGGTATCACACAGGAAATTTCCTTGCCCAAGACTCCTCTGTGCAACTCCTGTTCATCCCTTTCCCACCTTTGCCCTAATCCTATAGATTTCAGTTTCTGTTTCTTGCATGTCACATAACAGCTTGTGTCCTGACTGCTTCTCTCACCCTCCCCTGAATGTCTTTCAAGTCACCTTACCTGCTCCTCACCTGTGCCCATCCGCAGAGACATTCTGTGAATGACACCAGGGACCTAGTCTTCCTCAGGGTGCAGGAGAAATGGCCTCAGTGTCCACCTCCCTTCTAGGACCTCTCTACCTTCTCCTCCCCTCAGCTCCAGGTGACAATGTCCTTGCCCCTCTCTCTTCAACCAGAGTCCCCCATGCAGCCCTCTGATCACGTCCCTAAGGCTGAAACTCTGATGACATCCCTGTGTCCTCCTCTTAACAAGTCCTGACATGCACCCCACCTCACAGTTTGCAACACACTCTGCATGGGCTACCCTGTAAGCAAGGTATTGTGGCCATGCTTTTAAAATCAAGTAAACTGAGGCCCAGAGAGGTGAAGCATCCCTCTGGAGGTCACTCACTCAGAGGGCTGCTGTCTCTAGCCCTCTATGTGGGGCCTTCAGAGACCGGATCAGCATCACTGGACACGAGTTAAGCATTGTTCTTGGGCACTGGGAATGAGGCTGGAAAGCCTTGTTAAAAAGGAGCGCATCAGATGAGTTCAGAGCGTCTGGCTCTGAGCCACAAAGGGACAGGTCATGGACGCCAAGGGGCAGGAGTTGGGGGGGGGGGTTGGATGGAGCAGGTGGGTTGGGCTCCACAGAGGAACAAGGCTTAGGGAGTTGGGGTGTGAAGGGGGATTCCAGGTGGAGTGAGGGAGGGAGGCAGGGAATGGCTCCAGCAAGTTTGCCTGGCCCAGATTTGCAGGCAAGATGGGAAGCAGATGGGAATAATCTGGATGCCTCTGGGCTCCAGAACCCTGTCTTCCCTCAACCTTGGGGACAGTGCTCACCTTACACCCACAGGAGTCCCCACCACCTTCCTCTTTCTTGGGCATCAGGCCCCAAAATCCCTGCCTCTGCCTCGCTCCCAGTCTGCCAGAACATGACCACTCACCTGGAGAGGACGACGTTCATTGTGGTGGAAGCACCAGCTGTCTGTTGTGATCTTGGGGGAGTAAGAACAGGGCCCCAGGGGTCCTTCAGGCCTGAGAGGAGCCAGGCAGGGCTGGGCACAGCTGTGTGGTCTGGGCTTAGGGGACGCTGCCACCTGGTTGCCAGGCAACGTGGCCACTCAGAGCAGGCCCTGGGAGGAGCTGCAGCTGGTCGCTGGGCAACCCCTCCCCAGGGGTCAGCTTCCCCAGCCAGGTGTAGAGGGCCTCCGGTTCCTCTGGTCTTGAGTTGGCATGGAGGGGTGATCATGCCCCTCAGCTGGGGATCTCAGAGGGGCCCCATGTGCCCTTTGAAGACAGAGGTTCCTGTGGTTCAAAACAGCTGGCCTAGGATTTCACCCTGGGCTCGGCTGTGTTGTGTGTGGGTGGGGGAGGGCACTCCTTGCTACCTGCCAGCCTTCCCTGGGCGCCTGGCCAAGTGGGCAAGGAGACCTGCTTACTCCAGATGGGACTGTGTGAAAGGCGCAGGCTAAATTCCAGGCCTCAGGTCTTGCCTGTAGTGGAAGGAGTGGGAATTCCGCTCAAAGCAACACCTTTAGTTGTTTTATCTCACTTTCCTGGGTCTTCCCTTGTACAAAGTTTCTGCTTATTGTTACAAAGTACACAAGGGAGAAAGTGTCAAAGAGTATCAAAGGTTGCACTGGCAAGTATGTTGCTAATTGTGATATTTATACATTTTACCTTAAAAAAAGACAACTTTAAACACCACCAATTAAAAAGGATTGGAGTGGGCAGAGGGTGGAGGTGCAGAAGAGCAAAATATTGGTAGCTTCCTGGGGTGACTGTTACACTGTTTGTGTGTTCAACTCCCACCATGGAGATGGGTTTGTTTTTAAGTACACACAGAGGCAAGGACTGCACACCTGTTCAAATCCCAAACCCCAGCTCTGCTGTGTGACCTCAGGCAAGTTACCTGACCTCTCTTGGCTTCGGTGTTTTCTCCTGGAAAATCGTGGCAATTCCCTAATAAGTTGCTGGCATGGGGATGAAGGGGCAGGGCAATGGCCAGCCTGAGTAGAGCTCCTTCCAGCTCCCGCCCCCTTTTCCAGATGGTCTTTGTATTGCCCTTTCTCCAATGTCTTTTCACAGGTGCCCATGTTCCTTGGGGGTCCTGACCAACCTCAGCATGCTCCCTGCTGTGTTGTCATTCTCTGTCTGGGACAGCCACCACTCTGACCTCTCACAGGGAGCTCCAAGCAGACACCAGAGGCTCTGCGGACCAGCATGGTTTTTCCCTTTATGATGCAGGATGAGGGGGACTGTGCCCAGCTCTGTGCAGTGTGGCCTCCCTGGCCCCGTCATTCCTCTCCTGTCCTCAGCTCTCTTCACTCTCAGGGGCTGTGCTGAGTGGAAGAGTGCCCCTCCCCCCTCCCCTCCCCTCCCACGCCCCCGCCATGCACAACATGCAAGTCACCCAGATCTCAGCCTGTGGCCTTATTTGGAAACAGGGTCTCCTCAGATGGAATTAGCTCAGAGGACGCATCTGGAGCCAACTGGGCCTCCTCTTGGGACAGGGGTCCTTCTAAGCTGAGCAGGCAGCCACTCCAGGAGAGGCTCTGTCACCTCAGGGGCAGAGCTGGGAGTGAGGAGCTGTTGTCGAGTGGCACCAAGTTTGGGACACCAGCAGCAGAAGATGGGGAAGGAGTCCCATGGCGCCTGCAGAGGGTGGCAGCCTGTGCACTGTTGCTTCAGAGCAGGGAGGGAGCAGACTCTGTGAGGTCCCCCACTTTGGGGTGATTGGTGACAGCAGACACAAGAGCCTCATGGGGGTCCCAGAGGGCAAACGTCCCATAGATCTGCCTGGTTCCAAGCCAAGCAATGGCAAAGTAGGTCTCTGTCATTCGCGTCCTCTCTCTGGAGACCCCGACATTGCCCGGATAAGGACAGACTTCCAAGGCATCTGTCCTGTGCTGCACCTGATGACCACGGAGGGCAGCAGAGTCCCTCATCCCAGGATGCCTGGCTCTGGCCAGGCACTGTCGCTGGGGCTTGGTGTGGGGAACTGGCAGCCTGGGGAGGTGGGGAGGGGGGAGGGAGTGAGCGGGTCTGCTTCACCGGCTGACTCAGAAACTTTAGAAATTTGGGAAAATAAGAACAGCACACAGCACAGAGACATCTGGTGGCCAGAGAAGGAAAAGTGGGGAGACAGAGGCCATGGGATGTGCTGGCTTTGTCTCTGTCCCACCCCTTCTCTCTCTGTCTCTCTGTGTCTATTTCTTCCCCCCGCCCCAATGTCTTCTTGTTGAACTCTGGGGGGGCGGAGAGGGGGTACCACCATCCTTAGGCCTGCTGGCATTATGGGAGGTCAAGGGCACGCTTCTGGAGACCACATGCAACTCCACAGCCTAGAAATGAGCCCAGCCACATGCTGACATTCAAAGTGCTCTCCATGGTCACATTTGCCATGCGGGACCCCTGAGGTCACTATAGCTGGCTCTTCCTCCGATCCCAAGTGCCTCTCACAAGAACAGGCCTGGCATCCCCTCTTCCTCCAGGCCAGTGCAGCCTGGGACTGCCTGGGACCCCAGCCGTGAATTTGGGGAGACTACTGCCCATCTGCAGTCTTGTTGGAACCATTAGGAGGGGCTCTTGGTTTTCTTCGGATGAGCAGAAAAAAAGACAAGGAACACTCAAAGCCGATTTCCTTTTGAAAGACCAGTGATGCTTGGTTGTGCTGAAGGCTAGAAGGGGTTGAGGTGGCTGCCAGCTGGGTCCAGAAACAGAGAAGCCCAGAAGGTCTGTGGGGGAGGCCCGAGGAGCCCTGAGACCAGGTCCACCTTGGGTCTCTGGTGTGCTGTGTGACTTCACGCAACCATTTTCCCTCTCTGAACCCATTCTCTTATCTGTATTATAAGACCAGTGACCTCTGGTCCTCTCATCTCTGGTACCTGGGGTCACCCCACACCTAGAGCAACCTTTGACCTCAGTGTCGCTTGAGGTCAGTAGCCACAGTCCCAGGTCCACTGGGAGGTCACCGAGAGACCAGGACCTCCACAGGACCAGCTCTCAGGACAGGAACCATAAACCTGCTGCTCTCCTGGGCAGAGAGAAGACACCTCCGGAGCAATTAGCAGCTTCCAGGGTAGGAGGGGGGGGATGTCAGCCTCAAGATGCGTTTCTTGTAAAGCTTTTCCCTAACTGTAGAAAACCCAGAAACACGGGAGGGAAAAGCGAGGCCCTATCTGACAATCTCACTGTGGGGTCCCAGGAGAGCATGGGTTCTTCAGTCTTCTTGGTAAATGACGCCAAGGTTCCTCATTCTACCATCACAGCCATCTCCACAGTGTCTCTTATAAACTCCACTTCCTTATTAAGAAAGAGTTCGAATGCATCAATCAACACTGCAGTCCAAACACCTGCAGTCTGCATTGGACAATGCTGATGCACCACAGTCACCAAGTTTGTCTTCGGTGGCCTTGCAGTCCTCCCTTCAAAGACACGTACCTGGACTTGGTCCATGACTGAAGGACTACGTATCAAGTGCCTACTATGTGCACAGCTATCTCATAGGTGCTGCTTCTGAGCTGTGTGCCCAGAGGATGTCTGTCCAGGGAAGCGGGCGATGCCAAGGGGACAGTGACATTTCGAACAGTCACAGGGGCCTCAGTCATGCTCCTGGAGCTCGGGATGTGGTCAGATGGGACTTGTCTCTGTGAGGAATCACTGGCCATCCTGAGAACTGCTCTCTAGATGACTCTGCAAGGCAGGACCCAGCCGGCGGGAGCCAGGGCCTGGCCTCCGGAGGTGACATGCCATAGAGGGGTGCCCAGCTCAAGGAACCCTGAAGCAGCTAACCCACCAAAGCTGGCCCATTGGCATTTCCACAGCCCAAAGCCACCGGTGAACTCGGGAAATGCAAAGGCCTCTCTCAGTGCCAAAGGAACTCAGAGGCAGCATCTTTCATTTCTTGTGACCCTAGTCCCTCTTGTGACCCTGTGTCTCTTTGGTGTCAAGCGGCAATGATTGTAAGCAGTGTTTTAAGTTGTAGGTGGAGTGTATAAGACCCTGGGTTCCACCCACAAACAAAACATAATGGCCTTACTTGGCAGAACAAAAAGTTAACACCCTGTATTAGTCCCCCAACCCTACTATGCTATGACCTTTAAAAGCTAAGAGTGACCACTGGTAGACCCCCACACCCTGTGGGAGAATGGAAACAGAGCTGAAGGTCAAGACCCACATAGGCCTTGGCATCCCTGTGTCTCCCCTGAAGCTTGGGTGCTGCTTCTACCTCACTCGCTCACAGCTCCAGGACTGGGTGCTGCTGTTTGGGGCCAAGAGGAGAGGCTGGCCCCACGGCACACAGGCAGCAGAGGGACTCGGGGCTGCTGTTCTGTGGCACCTCGTAACATCCTGCAGACTCATGTGACCTGTGACATGTGCCTATTCTCCAGACAAGGAGACTATGTTTCAGAGGGTCTGTGACCGTGGTCAGGGAGACCAGGGATGGCACTGAAGTCATGCTCCTCCACACTGGAGTTCTGGTCCACTGGGTGACCCCAGCACTGAAGGGGAAAGAAAAAGCAACTTGGGGAAACCAACACAGACTTGACAACTATTTATGTGGCCAAGCAGGAAACATGTTTTAAAAAGTCCAAAGATTGAGGTTTCCTTGTTGCAGAATTTTATTCAAAGAAAATATGTAACATATCCACAAAGAAGGAAAGGGAAGAAAAGGAAGGGAAGGAACACACCAAACTATGCAGGGCCCTTACTTTGCCGTCTACTTTGAGCTTCTGATGACCTTGGCCCAGACTCCCAGTCCACTCTTGAACCAAGCCACACTGCCGACTTCCAATCCCAGCGCCACCACCTACCACGGTGTAACTGTAGCCAACGCTGACTTTTCCTGGGCCTCAGCTTCCCCATCTGTGAAATGAGACTAGACAGAGAACTGTTGCCCTCAGAGGAATGAGCAATAACCCAGTGTGCAGACGGGCCCAGGGTTCCTGCCTTTCCCCAATG